AAAAGCATGACTGCCTGAGCTGTTCTGACGCAAGTCATACCCTGCAGCCCCAATGATTAACACAAGAGTGACTAGTTTCGTCACCCCAGGGTTTCTCCCAGGACCACGTGCTTGAAAGTCTGCAACCTTCCCGCCTGCCCGTGGGGTGGCCCTGCAGATTGTTGGGGGGTTACTACTTCGGGTAGGTAATATATAGCAAGTTTGTGGTCGATCCGTTCTTACGGATATTGCAGCATCTTTTCACCTGAGATAGTTGGAGTGCCCGTCTAATTTCACGTAGTAGTCTCCAATTTTGTGTCATGTTTACCGCCATAACTGATATATCTTAGCTAGATGCTACCCTTAAGCAATGGCATCGTACATTCGTCCATGAAAACAAGCCACGATCTTGAAGGGCCCCCTGATTCCTCACAGCCATGCTAAGCAAGGCATTGCAATCACAATTCACTCTATCAAACCTCTAGTGTCACATGTACTCTGTCTTCTTATCATCACGCTTTAGGTCGATAGACGGCGTGGTATCCGTGGTACCACTCTGGACGTATGCTGCATCTCTAAGTTAGTCTCTGTTGATATGAGCTTCAAGATTCACTGTTCTTCTCTCCAACCCCCGGCTGTCTTGGCAGAAAATGCCCAACTACCAAGGACACCCAATGAAGGAGCCAAGATGGAAAAGATAAGGTGTACATTGGTATGAGCAAGAGATGCCTCGGCTCTCCTCATTCACCCCGCCGTCGTCTAGGTTTGTCGAATTTGTCGACTCCGTTTCATGATAGCGTATATGACAAACTGTGAATGCCGTAGCTATCGCACATGCCTTCTCGGAAATTGGCCAGCAAGGCAACGGTGATTTATGCGAGCTGGTGCTAGTGGTGGGATGCACACAAGCAACAGGTGTACACCATCGGCCCGGATGGATCGAGCCGACTTGGTAGGGCTTCAAGCTACCTAGGTGAGGAGGATAACCAGCGAGCCAGGGCCCAAGTCTGTCACATGCAGTGGTGGCCAAGTTGCACTTGGTTGAGAAAACCGTCTATTGATATGGCTTAGACTATTTGGGTTTTCCGAGATGTAGCCCAGGGGGTTTTTGGAGAAGGTTGCATGCGAAGTTGGAGCCGAGCCACCTCCTGTATCTTTGTGCCCGGATAAGTCCAACTGAATCAATCGAAGGCGGCAAGTGGGCGACAAGAGAAATGAGACACCTAACGGAACAGAGGTTGTACATACTACTTTTTAAGATGAAATTCAGTAGTATAAAATAAACTAAAGGACAATGTATGCTGTATTATCTCTGAAGTATATACTATTAGCACTTAATAATCCGATAAAACCGGTCGCAGACTTGAGAATAAGCAGCATAATATTTGAGTGTCTCAATTTCAATGTCACCCACTTGGGCGGGACTATCAGACGAGATTTCTCCTGGCTTGAAGCTGATAGGGCCATTCTTTTATCATGAATCGTCCCTCGATATTCGGGCTCTCGACTGGATGGGGGTGTGGGATGGCAAGTGAGGGGAGGAGAGAAAGGGCAAGAGACACGAGCAGGTTTCTCACATGCAGATGCGAAGGGGGGGAAAGCACATGCATTTCTCTCTCGAAAACGGGGTCTACGGATTACTGAACTTGGGTAGCCTACGTGGCGGGACGCCCGTTTGCCTTGGGTGATAGCGTAGCAATCATCTCGCCATCTCAGTCCCGTCCGCTTCCAATGAAGAGATGGGTTTGAGCATGTGGGAGGGGACGGTCTCGCGGTTAATGATACCGAAGCCCGCAGGCTTGGAGGTCATGGCGAGAAGACGAGTGGGAAACAACACGGGAACGCACATTCGTAAGCGAAAACGGGACACTTTATGCTGAATTTCATCTCTCTCATACCTAATACAACTGATGTGACTTGGCGGTGGGCTACCAGGTTTCTGCTTGCTTTCTTTCATAAAGGTCGGGATTTTTGCGGGGTGGGAAATAATAAACTCGAGGAGACAAAAAAAAGAAAATTCACAATCACCGCCGTCCTCCGCTTGAATCGTGGCGCGCTACAAAGAATTTACTAGAACGTGCTTGTCGCTAGGCGGCTTGCAGCATTCCTGGCATCCACACGATCTTCGTCATCCTCGTCCTTGACACCAGATCGGCCGCTGGAGCCCAGTCGGCCGGTGCTCGTCTCGGCGCCCTCACCGGTCTGCCCTTCCTCGGGAACCTGGCCGATGAAGCTGCTTGACACGCTGCGGTTGGCAGTGTCGGTCCGCCGAGGGACACCACTCCATGCATCCCCTTTAGGGCCCTGGCTTGCTGCAAGACTGGAGCGGCGGACGGTGGGGTGAGACTCACGGCCCAGGCGACTCAGGCCTCCAGAAGCGTCAATGGATCGGATGTCGGGTCGAACCGTCTCGAGCAAGGCCAGGGTGCGTCTCTCGGCTTCAATCTCCCGGAGCACGTACTCCCTGATGCTGAGGCGCAGGTCCGAGGCAGTCCTTGCGAACCATTTCCTTTTCTCTTGTACCAGGGTCTGCGTGACAATGGTGGTCTTGTTGTACATGTAGGTCTCATGCGACCTCGCTTCGTCGAGAGCAGAGATGGCCTCATCCACCTTCTCACGACGCACGCTGGAGCTCGCCTTGAGGCGGTCAGCGGCATTCAGCTTGTTTCTGGTCGTCTCTTGTGCTTGGATGAATTCCCGAATGAGAATCTGGCGGTTAGTCAGGGATTCCTTTACAATGAAGGCATCCTGCGAATGGTACTGGAAGGGGTCGCCAATTGTGGTTGCCTCAGCTGTTGCCTGGGCAGCATGGTAATCTCCAACCGTTTGTACCACCTTTCCAAGCTTTCTGTAGGCATTGGCAAGCCCCGGGTGAGGCTCTTGAACATTCATATTCCCAAGCTTAATTCCGTAATCTGATTCGGAGAGTCCAAGTCCTATAAATCTCGTTAGCAACTGAGACGGGCTCAGGCCTTTGATAGAAGGCTGCGCTCACCTCTCCGGGCCTTGACAAGCTTGTCAACTTTGTGGCCAGCATCCATAGAACCAAGGTAAAAGAGCTTCACAGCCGGTCGAGCCTCCGCGAGCTCAGGGGTATCATCAGGAGGAGGCGCAAACTGCTTCAAGATCTTCCGTCGAACGCCTGTTGCAGGCTGCTTCATCTTGACCAGGGGGCTGTACCCGAAGTCGCTCTCGACGAAGAGCACCATTTCATCATCCTTCATCAATGCCTCGTTGCCGCAAACATAGTTGAACCATCTCTGCATCAAAGCCTTGACGCGGTTCTCATCCTCGTCCGTACCTGCCCCTGCGGATGTGACGGCTGGTGGGACTGCCGGGACAAATGACTCCGGGCAGGAAGATATCAAGTGATCGGCGAGCTTGACGAACTCGGAGTGAAGACGCCGAACATCTCGATACTGCGTAGTGCGGAATCTTGGCAGGTTTGTCTGGGATATTCAATGTCAGTAAAGGTCCACATGCCCAGGCGCGCACGCCGACCAAGAGCATCAGGCCACTCACGTATACATCGAAACGCAACACAGGGTCCTTCTTCCCGGTCCGCTCAAGGCCAGTGATCTTCGCTTGTAGTCGGTGCTGTGGCTGCGCTGGCTTCTGAGGTTGCTGGGCCTGACCATCTTGCGCAGCCTGGGCGCCCTGCGTCGCGGGTTGCTGGGTGTTGTTGTTACCGGCACCTCCGGCCGCTGGCGGGGCATTCTGGAGAGGTTCGCGCTGTGTCTGGGCAGTAGCAGCATCCTGAGAGGTTACAGGAGCTTCCAAAGTGTCGGGCTCTGCTTCTGTCTCGGATGCGGTGGTTGCGGTTCCCGGCCGTTGGAAGCCTTCGGGGGCTGAGGGATCTTGAGACAGCCCGGCGCTAGAGGATTGGGGGAAGAATGGCGAGGAGACGTCGCCAGCGAGAGGTCCAAAGCCAGAGGCGTCCTTGCCGGGCGACGTCGGCGGAGGGGGTCCCCAGGGCGAGGCCGCAGGGTCGTCCGTCTCGTGGATTGATGAGCTGTAGTCCATGGCGATGACGGGGTCGGGGATGGCTGGGCGGAGCTTGCGATGCTCGAACTACCAGAAGAACGGTCTTCGGAGGGGGACCGGGGACGGTAGAAAGGAAATTGACGAGTGGGCGCGAAACCAAGTGTCGCGCATTCGACGGACAGCTCGTGGGTTGGGTCCAAAACTGACGTCGACAGTATTACTCGATTGGCATCGTCCTTACGGGCCACCAATTGCTGCGAGCCTCTGACAGAAGCAAGCTGGCGGCGGTGGCGGGTGACCGTTTCGGCTTAGCAGGCCGCTGCTCCTGCCCAGTCGTCGGCTCAGTGGGGCCAGAGGCTTGGCTGCCTAACAGTGCGTCGCAACGATATTCTAACAATGCATCTATGAACAGTACTTTGATTCATTTATTATTTTGGCAGAAATATAAGTAATTGTTCAAATCATCCTCCACGAAGGACTGCATATTGCTAGAGCTCGAGACGGTCACCTAGCCTTCATACTCCAGAGTCCCTCTCCAAGTTGGACCAAGTATAAGCAAGAGTTCTGCCTGTCGTTACCACCAAGACTGTAACCGAATGTCTACACAAATCAATCATTCCCAGTTGCATGTTCTCTCTCTAACTGCAACGAAATGGGAAACATCATAAATTACCTTACTTCTATGATGACGCCGCTGCCGAGGTAGGCAGAAGTTTAAACAGAGAGACGGAGATGGTAAGAAGCTCCATTGGGCGTTCTCCGCCTCAGGCACTTCATTGGCTACAACCAGCTGTGGGCCTTATCGCGCACGAAGGCCACGGCTTATCGGTCCAGCTCCAGTTAGTGCGGGGCACCAAATTTTCTAAGTACAGCTGCCGCCGACGTAGCAAGCTTAAGAGCTTCAGCCTTGAAATTTGAATAAACATTCCCACCCCGGCAGCCTGTGTGTGATTAAAGCTCAACTTGATCAGTCAAATTAGCCCTTTTTTCAGTGCTTACAAGATCATCTTTCCCAATCTTCCTTCTCAAGACACACAATGGGCAAGAAGAGATCAAGAGACGCGGAGGCCAAGGATGTCCCAGAGGACCCTGCAGTGGACAAGATGGACGAGGATAGCGGTGATGATGAGGTAGGATATGACGTCCAACTGACGATCTATAGACTACGCTGACGCTACTGAAGGATTTTGACATGGTCAATGTTGACTTTGAATGGTTCAACTTCGACCCTGAAGTTGACTTTCACGGGACCAAGTCACTTCTCAGACAACTCTTTGATGTTGATGGCAACCTGTTCAACATGTCAGCTCTAGCAGACCTCGTGTTATCGCAACCGACGATTGGGTCGACTGTCAAGGTAGACGGCAAAGCAACCGATGCCTATGCTCTGATGACAGTACTTAACATTGCCGAGCACCGCAACAAGGAGCCCATGAATGAGATTTCCCAGTACATTGTAGAGAAAGCGAAAACAAACCCTTCATTGGCTGCTATTCCTGCCTTGATTGAGGGCGGTAAGCAAGTTGGGCTGGTCATGTCCGAACGTCTCATCAACGTACCATCGGAGATTGCCCCTCCCCTGTACACCATGTTGATGGAAGAGGTGGAAGCTGCAGTAGAGGACAAGGAACCCTATGAGTTCTCACACTATCTCATCATCTCGAAAACATATCGGGAAATAGAGTCAACTCTAGATGTCCAGGACAGGAAACGGAAGAAGGCAAAGGAAGAGGCAACAGTCTTCTATTTCCACCCAGAGGATGAGGTACTACAGAAGCACTCCGTTGCTTACGGCAGCTTCAGCTACACCAAGGAGGAAGATTCCGTGGCGGACAGCAAGCGGGCGTTCCAAGAGATGGGCATCAAGACTTTCGGACACATGATGTTGGTCGAGGCAGGCAAGATGCCCGCGGCTATCGAAGCAGTTCAAAAATACCTGAATCCAGGCCAATAATATACAGACAGAGCATCTAATTCTCAGGCTCCAGCCTCTGCATCAAGTACTCAACCTCCACCTCCTTTGTCAGTGGGATAACAAAGTCTCTGTACATGGAAACCACGGCCTCCACGTTGATCTTGCCGGAGGCCTTGGTGCCCTCTGGCTGGAAGGGGTCGGTGCCGTATGTCTGAGCCTTCAATCGGAGGCGATCCAAGACGATCTTCTCCACCGCGGGTTTCGTGATGGCCTCGGCGATGCCCTCCCTGTCCTCGGCCTTGATGAGGCGGGTGAACCTCTCCTCCTCGGATCTGAACTTGGATTCGGCGACCAGCTTTCCGAAGTGGATTCTGCGTGAGAGGGCCTGCAGGCAGGCGATATCGCATGTAGCAGTAGATCCGTAGTTCTCCTCCGACTCACCCCGGTCCTCTCTTCCGAAATCCGGGCAGACAGCCGGGAGGAAATTCTCAACATAGAACTTTTTGATCTTTTCGTTTACAGACACGTTGTTCTTCCACAAGATCTTAGGGTAGTTGAGGGGCTTTAACAGAGGCTTCTGGATGGCATCAGGGAAGAAGGGATGCTCATCCGGAGACTCGAAGCGACGGATAAGCGATTGCAGCCTCTCTTGCTCTCGGAAGTACCAATCGAGGAAGCTCAGTTCGCTATTGGGGATATCTATCGCGCCAGGGATGTAGATGTTCTTTACAATGATTGGTGGGTCGTATCAGTAAAATGTGCCCGTTGAGTTGAGATAGTGTGTGGATATGCCAGCGAGGGGAGAGTGGAGGGGTGTAAATGCAATTCTCACCTTGTTGAGGGCAAACTGCACCCGTTCAATTAGATGGAAGGTGATGGTATCCTCGAGGCGGCTGGACCTAGTTAGCGGGCATGACAGATGGGTGCCACCACCAAATGGCGATGGGTTGGGAGCGCAACACACATGAGTTGGAAGCGGATTCTAGAGAGTTCCAAGGCCTTGGAGGCATCGGCCAAATCGACTGTGGAATCCATGGCAAGAAGAAATTGGAAATAAGAGCTCATCAACACTCCGGATATCAGTTCTACGACTTCATAGGCTGGAAAAGGTCGGGGTCTGAGGGCAATTGGGACACGTAGGGAAAACGAATCGGCTGCCGTTGGGCGTGCGAGAGGCAGTACGTGAGAATTTAACGCCGGTTGCCGGAGCTGTCGCCAGATGAGGGGCAGTAATGGAGGCTCTCAGCGGTGGTACAACCTCCACCAGCGGCTGGCCTAACCCAACGGGGAGAGCACCAGTCCATCACCGAGGTAGACGCTACAGCAGACAAACTACAGCCGGGCGCAACATGGACAACATAGTGTAAGTTGTTCGATACATTTGTGGTGGGGAGCAGCTTCGTTTATTGCATGTTTTGGGTAACAGACATTTTTATGTGTGCGTGTGTATTTAGATGCTTATTTGGGACGTTAATAAGAGAAAATACTATGTAAGCAGCTGGGGTCGTCCCAGAAGCTCTGTGGTTTGAGGGATGCGCTTTAGTCGGTGAGGAAAACTCAGTCGCTGGCCTGGTTAATACGGGGAATGCAAAATCAGGTGTTCCATGGGCTAGGTTACGTCGCATTTCCAGTAAGGGTTTGCATGACTGTTAATCAAGCAGCCTTATTACACAGTTCGTTCTCTGCTCGCGTGCTGATGATGATGGTTGCATGGACGCAGCCCTGGAGATCAAACTGGTCCATGCTTGCTTATCACCTGCCTGGAACACAGCGCATGATTCCCTACAGGGAGCCGCTAGCAGGCCACTAAGCCGGTCCAGGGCCTCTAGAGCCTGCACCGCATTCCAATGCACCGAGAACCTGAAACCTGCCCACAGCCTGGGTCACCACCCCCAAAACAGCAAGCGACTGAATTGCAACCAAATTCTGATAGTGTCGCGCGTCATTGGTGCATTGCCGCGGCCAGACACTTCCAAGTCCCGAGAAACCCTTGTGCTCGAACTCTGTTGGGTTTTTCTCCAGGACAACATCGCCTCCACGGATTTGTCGCGAGAAGAGCCACAACCTCGGTCGCACCCAATTCCAATCTCTACCGGGGCTCAATCTTCCAGCCGGTAGCCATGGCTGACTCTGAGGGCCAGTACGGCTTCCCAGACGAGGGCGCAGATGATGACCAGTCCATTATCTCGGTATGTTCGAAAGCCGCCAGCTGCATGCCGGCCTGGCACGAAGACCCAAAGATCCTGGGCGATTGATGCTGACCATGATCGTCATGCCCGGTACAGACCCGCGGTCTCGAGGCCTTCAGTCGCAAGGTCACCACTACTGCGAGCCACTTGATGGGCCCCCAATCCACTGATCCTACTTCAAACCCGTACCATAGCGCAATGTCAGAAGTGCACAAGCAGCTCAAGCGACCGGGCGTCCAGCGTAGTGTCTTCTCCGTCGCCCGCACGACGCCGACCGATTTGGTGCGCTCCAAGCTATCAACCACCGAGATCCAGCACCGAGCCCTGACCTACCTCCCTGACGAGCTTCTGACAAACATCCCGGACCATCAAAACTCATACTCCCTGTTCCAGGGCTTCAAGGCCACATTCCCCGAGCTGACGGATGAGGGAAAGAAGCATCGGCGCCGGGCTTCTAGGGGAAGAAAACTGATGCTGGAAGATGCTCAGTCTGCCCCGGGAAGCATAAAACGGCTGCAACAGCTGAAAAAGGACAAGGCCGCCATGCTGCACGAGTTCCAGCTCTTCGGTATCCGGAAAAGTATGGCTAGCAGCGAAATTCGGGAAATCGATAACAAAATCGCCAATCTCCACGGGATGAGAAGAATTATTCTGGACAGGTTAGCTTCGCTGGAGCAGGAGGAGGCTTTGCTAGAGCATGAGAGTAAGTACCGGCACTCTAAGCCCCACGTTATGCAAGCCGTTATGCTCACTAGCCTCGTAGTCGTTGAAATCGAAGGCCGACTTGAGGAAGCGCAAGTCTTGGCTGATGAAGCGGAGGAAATCGCTCGAAACATGGCTACTCAGGATGAGAAAGACTTGGTGATAGATGCCGAGGACCACGAATTCATGTCACAATCAGTCTACGAAAAGATACCAGGATCATCGGACAACGGACCCCGCAAAGCGAAGAAGGTACACCGCAAAATATCAATGCCTATTCTTCACGAGCACTTTGAAGCAGGATCAAACATTCGCGAAATTCGGGCACACCAGGATAGCATCACCGCCCTTGACTTCGACGCTCCCTTTGGAACTATGGCAACAGCAGCATTGGACGACACAGTACGGGTCTGGGATCTGAACGCCGGCAGGTGTATGGGTCATTTACAAGGTCATACGGCTTCAGTACGGGCACTGCAGATTGAGGATAATATCCTAGCGACTGGTTCGATGGATGCTACAATTAAACTCTGGGACCTAAGCCGAAGCAGATACGATCCGCATGGAGGTCTCGGCAAGGACGACGCGGAAGAGGATGCCATTGCATGGGAAAACCCCGACGATCAACCCGTAGATCCCCCCGAAGGAAGCATGGATAACTGTGAACTTTATACCTTGAGGGCACATGTGGACGAGATCACGGCGCTTCACTTTAGAGGCGACGTCATGGTTTCCGGCTCAGCAGACAAGACGATTCGGCATTGGGATCTGGAGAAGGGCCGGTGCGTGCAGACTCTTGACGTGATGTGGGCTGCCGCCCAAGCTTCAGCGACCATCGGCAGCGGAGATAATACATGGAGACCGACTGGGCGCTCATCCACAAGATCGGCGGATTTCGTTGGAGCCCTTCAGGTCTTCGAGACGGCTCTGGCCTGCGGTACAGCAGATGGCATGGTTCGGCTCTGGGATCTTCGAAGTGGTCAAGTGCATCGAAGTCTGGTTGGGCACACAGCGGCCGTAACCTGCCTACAATTCGACGACGTTCATCTCGTAACAGGCAGTTTGGACAGGAGTATTCGAGTAAGTTGCCCCCTTTATCACACACGAAGCTCATCCCCCCCCCCTTTATATTATTGCTGACGCCTTCTTCACTTACAGATCTGGGATCTGCGGACAGGATCGATCTACGATGCCTACGCTTATGATAACCCAATTACGGACATGATGTTTGATACCCGACGGATCGTCAGCGCTGCCGGCGAGGATGTTGTAAAGGTGTACGATAAGGTAGAAGGCAGGCAGTGGGACTGCGGCGCTGGGATCACCGCAGCAGAGGAGGGCAAACAACCTTCGATTGTCGAGCGGGTACGCGTAAAGGACGGCTATCTGGTGGAAGGCCGCCAGGACGGCATTGTCGGTGTTTGGACATCTTGATGTGTGTATGTGTATACGTATGTAATGTGTAAAACTTCCGCTCATGAGCGCCACAATGTTATAGGCTCCAATCTTAGAGATGCTTCCCTCGTGCAGTGGAATGAATTATTAAATATGCAAAGTTACATGAAAGACAGGAAACCAGCAACTCACTTTAGTTCAAATGTCAAGATTTCGGTGTCCTTAATGCAAGTGAGCTCGGCGATGTAGCTTTAGGGTAGCGACTTGATTGTTCGGATTTCAACTGCCACCACCATAGGCTCCAATGTTAACCATTCAACAGCATCTCCTCGCTACTCGTCATTATTCAGAATATCCCTAATCATGTTATAGACTGCTTTTCTATGATGGAGTCCACCCAACAACGGCTACTGCTAAAATACTACCAGGCAGCGATCCTGATCTCTGGAGAAGCCCCAGCTGGTCAAGTGGCAGATATCCTTGAAAGCGAGGCCAAATTCGCTGATTTCGCAGAGGGCGAAGCGACTCGGCAATTATTAGAACGGCAAGCCAGAAATATTTCACAAGCCCACAGGTCATTGCAGTCCCAGGATAGCACAGGTTCAAATGACGGCGTCAATCTTAAGCTTGTCGCCAAGAGATTAGACGACGTCTCATCCATTGCCATGTCCAAGTTCTACTCTTACAGATATGACCAAGTTCCGGAATTTTGGAGGCACATATATACCGAGGCGTTAGCTTTGAAAACGCACTACCATTTGTTGGTCTCAGTCTCTGAGAGGTCGGGTGTCTCTGAGGAAACTTTTGACCTGATGGTTGAGACCCTCGATAGGGCTCTGATTACAACTGGAGGGCACGGAAAGTATTTGAATCCAAAATGGATCGAAGATACGATATCATGCCTGGGCCTTTTATGGAGGGAGGGCCAAAAGACAACCGAGGGGCATTCAGCGAAACAACCCGAAAATGACACCGGCAAGTCCGAGTTCCCTTTGACGGAACCATACGGCCGGCCGGTTCTACGAAAGGACAGGGAATGCCCTCGCCATCCGGGCTGGACGCTCGAGAAATTCGAGAACTGCATCAACTCCGGGGTCGATCCTCAACCCATGGTCTTCCCGAATCTGATATGCGACTGGCCGGCGCTCCAGGACTGTCCCTGGAAGAGCAGAGACTACCTCCTCTCCAAGACCCTAGGCGGCAGGCGTCTCGTCCCGGTAGAGGTAGGCCGCAGCTACGTGGACGACGGCTGGGGCCAGGAGCTCATACCCTTCAGAGACTTCCTGAGCAAGTATATTGCCCCCCAGGAAGCAGAAACTGAGGAAGGGAATCCAGTTGGGTATTTAGCCCAGCATGACCTCCTGCGTCAGATCCCCGCCCTTAGGAACGACCTGCTCGTGCCGGATTTCTGCTGGTCGGATGCCCCCAAGCACCCCAGCGAACCGGCAATGGACCATCCCACCTTAGATACGCCGCAGCTCAATGCGTGGTTCGGGCCGGCAAAGACAATCACGCCGCTGCACACGGACGGCTATCACAATATCCTCTGCCAGGCCGTGGGGACCAAATATCTGCGGCTCTACCCACCATCCGCTACATCTGCCATGAGGCCACGGCCACCGGAGCACGGGGTGAACATGAGCAACACGAGTGCGCTGGACGTTGGGGTCCTTGAAGGGTGGGATCCGCTTCCGGAGGGCATGGATGAGAGAATGTTGGAAGAGGTAAGAGAGGAACTGAAGGGTGTTGAGTATACAGAGTGCATTCTTGGGCCAGGGGATGCCCTATATATACCAATCGGATGGTGGCATTACGTCCGGAGCTTAAGTATCAGTTTCAGTGTCAGCTTTTGGTGGAATTGATGTAGGCGGCTCTTGGTATATAGGGTATATATATAGTCATTCTTAACTAATAGTTTCCGGTAATTGATCTGATAGTTTCTGTAAATCATCTGGAGATAAATGATAGGAAAGACTTCAACCTGGAACTGCATCATCGACAGCATCACCACTACCTTGCGCCTCCCTCCTTGCTTTCGCGCCAGCCTTGAGGGTCTCCCACTTTTCACGGTATTTATCCAACGTCTTCTGCATCTTTTTGTTCTCCTTCTCGAGCTTCTCGATGTGCCTCTTCATCATTGAGTACTCATCATCCGCCACCTTGGCCCGGCTACTGCTGGCGTTGGACAGGGGCGACCCAGGCCGCATCATACGATAACTCTCAGCCATGTTTTGGGCGCTTGCCTCAAAGGCATGCAGCCGCTTGGTCAGCTTGTCGAGCATATCCTTGAGGGACTTGTTTTCTGTATAGAGCTCCTCGATCGTGTTACTGAGTTCTTTATCCGTGCGAGCCCGCCCGACGCGGCGCTTCGCACCAGGGGAGAGCGAAGTGGGAGTTTCTTTGGCATCCACGAAATCATCATCCTCCTCGTCGCCTCCCCCAAGCGAACCATGGCTTGACGCCTCCAGCCGGCGTTTCTCTTTCTCAGCATAGCTGAGGATGTTGGCGTAAGAGATTGTGTGCCCGCTGGTGGGGACGACATAAAAGGAGTCGCTAGGTGCAACTCCATCCTTCAGTATCGCATTCATTGTTGCCTTTGAGATGACCTTGGTGAGGTCCGGCTCTGTGCTTGTTGCGTGAGTTGGCCGGGCGCGAGTGCTGGGTTTGCTTCGGGACGACTCTGGAGAGGACTGGGACTCCTCTGACAGAGTTGACTCTTCCTGGATCAAGGGCAGACTGGCAAATGCAAGCGGTGCAGAGATGCGATTGATGAGACTACCGAAAGTGTTATAAAATCGGTTGTACCCAGCATCGTCGGACTGCGCAGAGGAAGCGTCTGCCGTGGAAGAAGCGACGTCTTTCCGCTTCTGGCGGGCCTTGTTATCGTTCTTCGTAGGGCTTTGCGCTGTTGGCGGTATCCAAGTCGGCTTGCCCGGCTGATGCTCGATGAGTGTCTGCATGGTGCTCTTGGAGCCGTCACGTCGCGGATGGGGGTCGAGATTGCCCGGGGCCTCGTCGTTGGAGACGCTGGGGGTGAGAGGCTGCGCTCTGTACTTCGACCTGATTCCTCGAGCGGATGCCAGGTTGCTAGCGATGGACGACGACATCTCGCGGGAGGCAATGCGTCGGGACTGCGGCAGGCCAGGCTTGGACGGAGACTTGGACCCCTGGGTTTCCGTAGAGGCCTCCTTCTGCGAGAGCGAATGCACGGCATTTCCGGTGTTTTGCTGGTGCGCTTTCTCATTGCCCGCATCAGCATCGTCGCCGGTCGCATGCTGGGCAGGTTGATCGGGGATGTTGAGCAGCTCGGCCAGCCGCCTGTGGTGTTCCTCCAGCAGCTTCAGGGTCCGCAGCGCTTCGATGCTCGATGTGCTCCGGGCAGCAGTCGCAAACTCCCCGGCTGCTAGTGTGTGCTCGTTGATGGCGACGGTGGTGTCGGCCGAGTGCCTTGTTGTTGCGACCGCAGCGGCACGAGCATGGTCGTGGGCTTTTATGAGGGGGGACGGTTCCATGATGCACCAGCGACAGGATGCTGCCTGACACAGGAGTAAACGGCACCTAGAACAAGGATCGAGTCCGGGTGAATATAGGATATCTTCAGGCCTGGCCTGCTTTAGTGCCCATCCATGCGAGGTTGAATGGAACTATCCACGGGAGTGTGGAGGAGATGGTGAGTTCGATATCTTATCTGCAAACGGTGTTTCCTCTCTAAAGTTTGGCCTTAGCTTTCCCCGGAGTACAGTTTGGCTGGTGGGGTGTGCACAAGTACTATCAACCGGAACTGGTATACTAAAGCGCACTAACAAACGACTTATGCATATCCCTGTACGTGAGATCGAAGCACAGCACGGACGGCAGTACGAGAACGTTGAAGACATTCATGATATTACCTACGCCAGAGAATATCTGTAGGTACCTTATGTATCATGCTCGCATGTAGTTAGATCTCTACATCCATCCCCCGACTCATAGGAGGCTGGGTTGAAATTATAGGCGGTGTAGGATATGAGTTGGTGACTCGGCAAATGTCATGAGATTATCGTAGCTACTGCCTGCAGGTCTTAAGTACCCTACCTCGCCGATATAGGGCCCAGGCAAGTGGGTGACACGAGAAATAAGACACCTATCATCGACTACTTTCTAGAATAAATAGAGAATTTCAGTAGTATAAAAATAGAAGAAAGTAATAATATGTACAGTATTATTAATTATTAGGACTCAATTATCTGATAGTACCGGTCGCAGACTTGAGAATAAGCAGGCAAATGTTTGAGTGTCTCAATTTCAATGTTGCCCACTTACCAGGGTAGCCGAAAAGCTCCATCCGTGATATGTAGGGGCAAGTACTAGATATGCCAACCTTATGCCCTCACCGTTGATTCCGATGTTTTTGGGACTGATCGTGGTCCATCACAGCAGCGACCAACTTGGAAGGATGGTCAATTCACCTGGTGGGGGTGGGGAGTTTCATGAGTTTGTCTTGATACATGCCTGTAGCTGTAGGCACCATCCATGTTGTTATTTTTAGGCTTCTGACCTGCCGCAGGGAAGGCAGTAGGTTACCTACCTAGGTAGGCAGTCAATCCATCCTCAACCAAAACTTAAGTTACGGACGAGTTACGAGGTCATTGAACGATCGGTACTCTAAAGGTAGGCTGAGATGCTTCTCGTCTTGAGGCGCTTGAGGGGCTGGGCAGTTGCACGAGTTTAGCCTTTGGTTTATAGGCGGTAGTCGGTGGAATAGCGTACGTACACCCCGATCCCTGCTGGCCAGGACGGTGGATGCCTGCTGTGTCCCACCCTGGTTAGGGAGGCGGCCAGTGTGTCCCAGGTGCGATCCACGAACTGCTAGAAGGTGGCGGGCAGTGAGGCGGGTTCTCTCATACGGGCCACCTTTTAATGTTACCACGAATCCATGTCGTTGGGTGCTTCTCCACCAGCTTCTCATCAGCCTTCGCACCAAGCTAGGTTTCCAACACCCTCGCCCTGCATTTATCGTCTCGCGTGCGCTCTCTTTCTTTTCTCTCTCTTCTATTTTAACAGTAATTGGCACGCCCGCCTACCAAAGTAGAGAGGACTAGTTTTCTTCACTGAGACAGTGTTGACTATTCCCCGCTGTCCTGAGAAGGGCTCTTGTACGTCATTGACTTGGAGTCTCGCATTGTGTTCAACGACTCTCCTCAAGAGCGTCGCATCTACTCGTTTGTTCATGCACTAGTCGCAAGCAAGCCGCGCTCCTCACCAGGATACGGGGAGATCGGCTGCGGCAATTGGAACTTGCAGGACTTGCCTGAGCTGTCCCAGGTGCAATGGAACGCCAACTCACTCATACAAGCAGCAGGGAGGGCCTCAGCAAGCTGCTGCCAAAGTCCATATCAGAGAGGCGGCTGCGGCGGTCGAAAAAGAAGGGGGAAAAGGACCATGACGCGGACCGCACACAGGAGAGCGATGGGGCTTCAATAATGATTGACGACGACGACGACAGCAGGAGTATTGATGGACGCAGTTTCGGTTCCTTTGAATCTGGGCCAGAGCCTGGCTCAACGACCGCCTCGTCGCTAAAGGACAGCTCGGCAACTTCACGAGCCAAGTCAAGGTCAGTATCTTATCTATTCATCTGCTTTTATTCGTTCCCATTCTCTTCACGCCATCCCACCAGCTGGGGTGAAACCTACATGTCTTGCCTTTCTCCCCGTCTGCCCGCCGCATAGACCACGTGCACAATTTATGGTCGATGGGGTTGCTGGCGCTGGCAAGCTCACAGCTCGAGCGTTGGGGTCTTCGATACCTACGCCACAGTGACACCGCCGTACTGCTTGTCAGTACAGGGTACATCGGCCTCCTCCCAAGTCCCAACCTGGACCAACATGCAACACCCCATCCCCTTTCGCCAGCTCCAGCTTCGTCGCAAACCATCGTTCGTGTTTTTTTGCTGGGGTTCTTTTCAAATCCGTTCCTCAAATCTACACTCGCTTTTCCTTCAACCCCTTTGCGATCCATTTGCCCTCTTTATCATTGCCCCTTGCAAGTTCTTTGGATCAGCATAGCTGGGTCTCAGCCCGTTGCTGCTACCCCCCATCGACGTCTCTAACACCAACGCCACAGATCCCCATCGCGGCCGGCAACGATCTCACCGCATCCCTCGTTAATCGGGTACCTGACGACATCATCACCCGTTGTTCAGGCTACGCATATCGAACCCCGGGCGCAGCCACTCTCACCGACCAAATCAGCTGATCTGCAAGCCTTGACACAGACGCAATCCGCACCTGTCGACGTGCCCGCAATAATCGAGCCTCCCGGTGTCTATCACCCTGCCACTCCTAACAACAAGCGATTGCCAGGTTCTAGCAGAGTCGCACACATATTCCCAACCCGACCTGAAGCGTCTTCCCCGACTATTGTCACCAGTCCACCGACTCCCGACTCTCCATCACACAAGAGGTCGACCTCGACCACCCCTATCAGTCCGAGTGCTGATGGCCCCAATTCTCCACGATCTGAGGCTCACAAGAGGAGCACATCGGCTTCCGCGGCAGTAGGATCCAGCAAGCTCTCCAGCATTCCGGCATCGCCTTTATCGCCAACGGCAGAAGACGGTGGACCTGACCCTGGTAGTGCTACTGGTACCGGTTTTTTCTCGTCCATGTTCTCGGCTGCCCAAAACGCAGCGACGAATTTGAGCACAAACATCCAGAATTCTGGACTCGGAATTGTCGGGAACAAGCCGCGGCCGGCCTCGGGAAAGCAGCAACAAACCCCAGAAACTCCAGATCCTTCCAGGCCGAATTCACAACCGGTAACAATACTATCACCTAAAATGGATCAGAGAGATTCCACATTGCGAACGATTGGGACGGGCGATCTCAGCCTAAGCCAGCTCGGCATTGACGAAATGTCCAGCCCGATTGGTTCACCTTCCACGGCCAAGTTTGCTGATGCGGACACGCGAGCTCGTTCTGAATCCGCGCCAGTAGACACCCAGCTGAGCGGCGAGGAAACGCTAAACGAAGAGCCCTCCAGTAGACCACGGTCATTCAGTGAGGCACAGGATGGGGAACCTAGCCCGATTGTGGCCGATTTTGACGAAAAGGGCCTTGGTCGTAGTGCCAGCGTCCGAACAGCGAACCAGGCATATCATAGAAGAGGAAATTCGAACGGGATAGGTGGCAGCACCGTGGCTCTCGGCGTGCCACCCGGAGGGAGTGGCTTTAGTACTTCCAACTCGAATTTTAGTACACCCAAGCTCACTGGATTCGCGATTGCGAGCAAGAAGCGGAATCGCGATTTCCACGCGATATTCAAGAGCGTCCCCGATAACGATTACCTGATTGAAGATTACAGTTGCGCCTTACAGAGAGAGATCCTTGCCCACGGCCGTCTCTACGTCTCAGAGGGCCATCTCTGCTTCAGCAGTAACATTCTTGGCTGGACAACCACTTTGGTTATGAGCTTTGACGAAATTGTTTCCATGGAGAAGAGAAGTACGGCCCTCCTTTTCAAAAACGGTCTAATGATTTCGACATTGCACTCAAAACATGTATTTGCAAGTTTCACCAGCCGAGATGCGACATACGATCTGATTGTGAATATCTGGAAACTGGGCCATCCCACGCTGACCAGCACACTAAACGGGGTTCGCTTGGAGGGAACGGGTGGCGACAAGACCGAGAAGGAAGATTCAGCAAAACCATCGCAGTTGGAGACTGAACCCCCAGAAGAGTCGGATAGCGAGGAGAGCAGTGATGACGAAGGGGACGAATTTTATGATGAAGAGGAGCATGAAGAAGCTCCTGTCAATGCCCCAGTAGAACCCAGCGGCCAAGGAGAAGTCGAGAGGGCGGTGACAAGGAAAGCATCGGCAATGACAACAGGAACTGTGGTCACCACTGCGCCACAAGGCAAAGAAGGTGCTTCTGCAGACGGACCTGCGGATTTCCCCGGTCCACTAACGCATGCCCCTACAGAGTGTGGCGATGCTGGGACTCACTACGATAGGGTGGTCGGCGATGATGTGATCCAGGCTCCTCTGGGCCAGGTCTATGGCATCATATTCGGCCAAGCATCAACTACGTGGATGGTCAATTTCTTGACCGACAATCAGAAAGGAACCGAGCTCCAGTTTGATGATAAGAAAGGTCTCAGCCTTGATAACAAGAGCCGGACATATACATTCATCAAGCCTCTATATGGTGCTATAGGGCCGAAGCAAACCCGGTGTACGATTACAGAAACAGTGGACAACCTTGATTACGAGAAGGCAGTCAACCTCAGCGTTTCGACGCAAACCCCTGATGTCCCAAGCGGCAATGTCTTCGCGGTCAAGACCAAGTATTGTCTTTCTTGGGCAGAGAATAACGCAACTCGTGTGCAGATTAACTGCACAATTGAATGGAGCGGCAAGAGTTGGCTCAAAGGTAAGTCTTGTTTGTTGGAGATCACCAATTTAGTGATGCTAACAGGTTCCCGCAGGCCCGATTGAGAAAGGAGCCAATGACGGACAAATACAGTACTGCAAAGAGCTGTTCGCTGCCATCAGAGCCTCCATTTCATCTAGGGGACGGTCAGGGACCGGCTCGAATGGAGCGACAGGTAAGCCGAAGAAGAAGAGCAAGAAGAATAAGATCAACCAACTTGCTTCCGAATCTACCGAAAAGGGAAGTGTCCCTCAACCCGACACCAAGCAAAGCTGGGGTGCACTCGAACCTATCCGGGTAGTGGTGGAGCCGCTCTCAGATATTATCAAACCCCTTCTGACAGGGAATGTCATGTATGGTCTCTTGGTCGGTTTGCTGGTGTCAAGTTGGTTTGGATTTGGCTTTTCGCCCGGAAGGAACCATCCTGGCAATAGCATCGGTTTGGACGGACCTGACCGTCTGATTGCGTACGAGGAGATCTGGAGGCGAGAGGACAGCGAGCTATGGGATTGGTTGGAGGAACGAGTCGGACTGGAGAGATTGCATGATGCGGGAGGCAATCCTCGCAAGAGGGCATCACAACCGCGGGTGTTTGAGCAGAAGATGAAGGCGGATCGGATGGACGCCAGAGAAGTCGAAGAGGCGATGAGGGTGACTGAGGAGAAACTACGGATCCTGCAAGAGGCGGTGGACAGGGCGAACCAGGCTCCTATCAAGAGCAGCTGAAGAAGCATCACCAGCGTACCGACAGCCATGGTAATCACACTCATTCATGTACCAGGCCTGTCGTTGTTTCATGGACTAGCATTGTTCCAATTTTCCTATGATTATTTGCGGCTCCATTCAGAGCCATCTGCATATACTAGATACCTTATATAAATTTCGGCAGCATCTTGAAGCGAATATTATATTTAACGTACATGCTCTGTTTCTGAAAACTGGCCTCCTGCAAGTACGGCACTTTGGTAGATGGAGGGTGGGATAAGCCAAGAAGAAGGCCACATCAGGCCACATCGGAATACCCCAAGTAGGCAACGCATGCAAAGAGCTTTTGACGTTTTGAAACCACCGTCAGCATGTATGACTTTGGCTCCCAACCTATCAGATCTCGGGGAGAGGAGCAACTCCAAGTGTGTGGCACGGGAAGCTGTGTGAACGAGGGTGTCCCCGGGACATGTGGCAGGGGAGCTGCACGTCTACTTCTGCACATAAGTAGTACCACAATGTGTTATAAGCAGAGCGCTTTGTGCAGAATTGTGAAGCGGCAATATGAAAACGACAACAAGTAGTGTATCGTTCATATATATTTATAATTAGTCCTCAATGATTGAACAATACCAGAGGCCACAGACGCGAGGATAAGCAGAATGATGATTTGGTGTATCCATTTCATGTCCCTTCGTCGGGTGGAAGCCAGCCTTCAAGTTAGTATGACCCGTGCTGACCAAGGGTGCCTCCCCAACTCAGTAGGTCCTACAGCTGTCTGCCTTGAAGAGCGAACTAAAGTGCCACAGTGGCTATTGATTGTGCTTCTTTTCGTGGCTCCAACCTTGAACTCATGGGCTGCGGGTACACCTGGGTTGCAGGCCTGCCTTGCTACACCAATACTCCACGCGATCTGGGGAGAGGGTGTAGGAATGGTGATCAAGAAATCTTCATCTCAACTCAAAGCCCAAGATGAACGCTTCCGGGAGGTACGTAATGAAAGCGAGCAGGGGAATGGGAGGTGGAGGGGGGCGTGCAGCTGGCAGCTGGCCGTGTGGAGGACAGCAGCAGGCAGCCCACCCCTACCTCCATGCCATACATAATGCAATGCCATCCAGTGAGTGACCTTGGTGTGTAGAGGAGGTGAGGTGTGCCTTGGGCCAAGGGGCTGCGATTACGAGACCGCCGTAGGACCATTGAGTCTGCCTTGCGCAGGCCGCCGCCTCGCCCTGCCGCCTTCTGATTGGCCGGGGCTGCCTCGATAACGGAGTCCCCCGTCTCCCCTCTAACGGCAGCACGCAGCAGGCCCAATGGAACAATATTATGTGATGCCAGGCCGGGAACACTGCATGTTTGTTGCCCGGTGCTTTGGGGCTTTCGTGCTTTTGGTGTCTTGCCTGCCTGCCTACTACCTACCTTGCATGCTTTGACTTTGTAGCTGTCCCGACTGACACACCCGGCGCGCACCCCGGTCACGACCTCAAGTCCTGGATGGGGTTGACGAGTCCTACCCTCGATCCGACGTGCCAGTCTCGCCGACAAGCATAGCCATAGGTAGGACCTGCCTCGATCGCCCGTCTACCCGTGCCTTGGGGCATGTTCGTGATTGCTAGCGCATTGTTTCTTTTCCCTTCTCGTTGTCTGAGCACATTCTACGCATAAGACCCCTCTCCAACCACACCGAACAGGCAGCGCCATGAGTGGTGGCGGATAAGACTTGCCTCTGATCATCTCATCGCATCTCAACCCTATCGGTTCGACGTCGACCTTTTCCCCTCTTGTAGCCCTACACGTACCCATTCAATACATCCCCGGTTAGACAAACGCAATGGAGAGCAGGTGGCGGTCCTCACTGGAGGACTCGGGTGGTGCAGCCTCAGCCCTACGGCGTCTGACGCAAACTCCGCGTCTTGGACTGCGACGCCCCAGCTCAACAACGAGCTCAGCATCATCCATTGTGTCCCACGATCACACCGATGAGCAGTTGCAAAACTCCTGCGTGTATGTATTCCCCATGTTCTCCATCCTCTCATCAGTCTTTTGGACCTGCCTCGCTCACCCTCCGCGCCCTGTGCCAGGTCCCGCGAGACGTCACAGGATGACTGCTCTTTCAACAGATTCATGGTATGGGCGGCCGTCAAGCGAAATGCCTGCCAGAGGATGACGCCCGAGGAGAGGAGAGAGTGTCCCCTGCTGCGCTGTCGCAAGCGCTTCCCGGATCATGAGATGATGCTCCAGCATCTGTATGTGTGCGACCAGCTCGTCGCCGGCGAGTACTGGTGCTACGAGTGCGCCAAAGTCGAGCGTTTCACAGACCCCAAGTGCAAGAAGTGCTGCCGTCAGTCGTCTAGTAAGAGGAAGAAGATTATGTTCATGGCCAAGAATTTCTTCAGCTCTCTGGGCCATCGGTCAAGGACCGGCAGCCTGCTGGACCTGAGCTTGGAGTTTGAGGATGGCCACCTGAGCTATCGCGACTCCCTGGATGACATGCCCACGGGATCGCCACAAATCGAGTTGCAGGCCAACGAGATTCATGAAATCGACTCACACGAACTGCCCCTCGACACCATTCTGGAAAATGTGCTATTGGAGGAAGACGGAGACCAAGTACGGTGTCCGGACGGGCCACCACCCGAGATTGCACTACAACAGCCTCAGCCGACTCCCCCGCCAGTGTTTGTTGTACCCAACTTTCCTTCAACAGTCCGCCCTGCCGAACTAGAGTCTGCCTCGACGATTATCGGAGGTCCAGGTCTGGTCCATGATGAGGCAACAAGGCTGCCGACAATTGCACCAGCGGCTTTGATCAGCCAGAACCATGGTAGAGAGTTTGGAAAACCTAATCTCCAGCTGTACACATCTGCTACAGAGCTGCACCAGTATCGGGCCCAGAAGCGACGAAGCAAGAACCTTGCACCAAGTTCGTCCGTCCGATCCACGGCAAGTACCGCGAGCACCAACAGCACATCCAGCACCGGGAGTTATGACATCTCCCCAATGTCTGTCTGGTCGGGTAATTGGGCCAGACACTCAGTGTTGGATTCGACCCTGACCTCGCCTTCCGATGAATTTGATCCAGAGATGCCCTTCGATATTTCCAGCAAGCCCCACGGACTGAATGAGACAAATGAGGACTGGCAAGGAGACACCACTATTCCAACAACATTGCTCGCAGAACTTCCCGCCGATGTTCCAATGATCGATATGCCCGATGCTTCTCAGTCACTTCCCAGTAGCTTGGATAGCTTTTTGACTCCGCAGTTGACGCTCGATATCTCCTCCACGCTTGACCTGGCCGCTGAGTTGGGTCTCAAACAACCCGACCTTATTCAGACCGAGGCGCCCGCACCCCGTGTCGAAATTCCTGCTGCAAGGAAGCCGCATACCAGTGCTAATTCGCTTGTGTCTACTACATGGGAGGCTCTTAGCATGCACGTTGTGGAGTCAATGGAAAGAATCCGCCTTGTTGAACAGAACCCGCTCGTAGACAAACTCTGCAGCTTGTCTCCGGACGCCGTCGGGCTTGCCGGTCTCGAAACTCTGAAGAGAATATTAGATGGAACTCCGGTTGATTCGGCTGTCGATATTCTTTGTTTCGTTCACCTGATTTATTCGTTCTACCTCGTCATTCATGAGAAGGATGCTCCTACCCGAGGCACCAAGCTATTCACACAAGCAGTATCGTATGCATCGAGACTTCGAGAGGATCGCCAAGCTTACCTTACTATCGTTGATCTACTGTGGAAACCAAGCGACATGAAACACGAGGAGGTTGTCGGCATCATCCGGAAAACATCAATATCTTCGCGAACCAAATCTCTCAAAGGGCAAGAACCTCTCACTGTGTGCGAGTCCCCGCTTGATGACTCTCTTGTATTGGTCGCACGATTTTTCTTAGATGGTAAATAGATACTGCTCATCCGAACGACACATTACTGACACGTCACAGAACTTGAATATTCTGCCATTCACGAGTCGTCTCGTACCGAGATCCAACACTCCGATTTATGTATCCAACACGTTAGCGAGGCAAGCCTCTCCCTACACGAGAATCCGTCATTCAACGTTGCTGTCCAGTACCTACGGCAAGCACTTGTAAAAGAATATGCAAACGCTCCGGCATTCATTGAGCAGGTCAATGAACTTCTGACTTCAAGACTCACCAGCTCTTGGCCAACTCCACGTCAACTGGAGTTGGAACTGATGAATATTGGAAAGGTGAGAAACATTCGCTTCCTTAATTCTCTGATAAAGTATGTACTCATTGCGCATCGTGTAGGCTTCACTTGATCCCGCTCGATACTTTGACCACTTTGTTCCTACTGTCCGCTCACATGTCGACTTGTACTTTGCCATCATATCGGATCAACATTCGATGAGATTACTCTACCACAAACTTGGAGTTTCACTTATCGAGTTAATTGTCCGGATGTCAAGAGCCAAGGATATGCCAGCGAACGATGCAGCCCACTCCACGTTACAATCAGACACAATCGACGAGTTCATTAGAACGCTCACCCCAAGCTTAGACACATTTAATAATCTACAACGAGACTCGGACTTCGACGCCGACTTCTTTACATTTCAATCAGGAAACATTTCGGACTCATCTGTCACGCCCGATGGCCCCTCGACTGGCCCAGTACCTTCCACTGCAGCAACATCACCACCTTCTCCAGAGCATGCTTCTACAAATGGGTCCAAGACGGAATCCGACAGCTGTTGTGAAATCTGCGGCTACCGT